GTAAACATACAAAAAACTATGGAAAATCACCATTTTTAATGATAAATCCACCTGCAGGCGACGCCTGCAGCGCACGTCCAACAAGGCCTTGAGGAATGGTCTCCGGCCAACCTTGGAGCAATGATCATCTTAGGTGGGGTTCAAAAAATAGTGGGATTTAGCATGATCTAAGCCGCAAGAATAGTGCTTTTAGTGCTTCAAGAGACAAAATTATGGTGTCATAGGATGTAATGAATATACTCTACGATAGGCATATATAACTATCAGGCCAACCAGAAGCTGGTGCACCTGTTTGCAATCTCTAAGTTGCTAAACATACCTCTAAGCACTGTTGCGTTTGTGGTATAGGTAGATATATCTATAGTTAATGGGGTTATAATATAAACCAAATTATTATGAGGCCAACGGGAACAGAGAAAGTTGGTTTTAGCAAACAACAACAACAACAACAACAACACAATCAAACACATAATCATCAACAAAAACAACCCGACAGGAAGAATCAAAAAAAATACAAAAAACAAAACTAAATCAAACCTGGATGTTCCTCACTTGTTGATTTCGTTTTTGGTTTTTAATATATATATATATAAATATGTGTTGTTTTTTTGTGTGTTTCTTGTTTCTGTTCTGGTTTGTTATTTCTGTTTGCTCTGATGTTGCTTTTGTTTTGTTTTGTTTTGTTTGTTGTAATTTTTGTGTAAAAGCCTATATTCTGTTGGACTCAGCAAATTATAATTGGGGTAACCCCCTCTATGGGCATGTGAAAAATAGAGGGGATACCTATCGGATACCATCTGAATTTCGCAGAGAATCAGGCACCTGCAGGATCAATAAGTGGATGGTCATGGCCCAGGCCAGTAGAACTTGGGGTGTTAACCAGCTGCTTCTCATTGTATAGCTATATCAATCTGCCCTTTGGTAAACATACAAACAACTATGGAAAATCACCATTAATTTAAAACTTTCTATGGGCCATGGCTTCAATAGCTTTTTGTAGGTTTACCAGAGGGTGTATCATATATCCAAGTTCGGCCGAAACTCCATGTGTTATCCTTTCTTTCTTGGCAATATTCCCAGTGAAACAATCCCCTTCTGAATCAAGTTCTGAAGCATCCTTTTCCAACCTAGACCTGATGAACAAGCTTCTGGGGCTGCAAGACTCAGGTTCATCACTATATTTCACAAGTACACAGCTTATTTCATATGCTTATTGCATGCTATTATCCACTTACCTGGAGTCAGTATCTTCTTCTTTCTTATCTCGTGGGGACATACTGAATGTCACGTCCGGCAATCTGCTTCAGCTTGCTACCCTCTGTTGTTCCTTGGTATGCCTTTAGCCTTGGCTTGAAGGAACTTTTTTTCCGTTTCAGACATGTCCCGAAGTCCTAGGCTACTAGTCCGGCATTTATCAGCAGGTATAGACCTTATATAACCATATTATACTATATTATACCATATGAACTATATTATATTAGTTTACCATATTATACCATATTAGCTTGTAAACCACGGATCCTTGCTGGGATGCAGAGCCAAGTACTGTGGTAAGGGAAGACTGCCATCTGGCATATCATCCCATCCTCCTAACATGAAACACACCCCAGAAACATGGTTTAATAGGGGATGGATGATGGGAATTTACAGTTAGAATATATATATATATAGATATACAATATATATATATATATGTATATTATATTTATAACATCTTATATAACCCAAACTGGGAATATTCCAGATACAACTTGGTTGCCCCCTATGGTTCTTTCTTCCCCACAAAATCCATACCCGGGTCACGCCCAAATCGCATCCAAAGAGCCACAGAGAAGGGCCACTTTGGACTGAAAAAGATCGCGCAAAAAGATCAGGATGGGCGGCCTTGACCCAAAAATCCATGGGCCAACACAATTGGATAGCAAGAATGCGACATGTCAATTTTTCCCCTAGTTATGGTCATTTCCGTATAGGGACAATAATAATTAACCAATGGGTACAGGATGGGGCCCCCCAGTGATGTGAACGTTGGTTTATAAACCATGATAATCCCCATGAACTAGTTCGTTATATCTACCATAAACCACAATTAAACCGATTATAAACCAACTGAACGCTATCGACTGGGGGCCCCCTCCTTGGTACTTCAACCCGGTTGGTGGCTTAGCCCGGTCAGTGGCGTATTGAAACCCAGTTTTGGGGAAAACCCAGTGGCCAAAACTCGATGTTTTTCCAGGTTTTGATGAGGCTTGAAGCAAAATCCATTAGGGAATGGTGTCGTAGAATAGCAACAACTTGGGATATCATGGGGTGTACAACAATCAATAGGATTTTCGGGGTTGTCCAAAATGGTAACGAACAATTTTTGATTGGCATTTTTTGGATACGGAAAGGTGAAACTTTCAGCCACTGGATTTTGAGGTACCCTAGTTTCAATCAAAGCCAGTATACCCATCCATACCCGGCCTGGTAAACATACAAAAAGCTATGGAAAATCACCATTTATAGTGAGTTGTCCCATGATAAAATGTGATTTTCCATAGCTTTTGTATGTTTACCAGAGGGTAATCTACTTTTCAAAGTAAGCAAGTCACATGCGCAATCTGCTTTTCATATCTTTTCATGATGTGGACTGATCACACCCTCATGGCTATCTTTAAGAGATTGCACAGTTTAAATCAGAGACATTCACCAGCCGGTTTATGCATCCCCCCAGGGACGCAAGTCGAACAAGATCAAGTTCTTGCAATCTGGTCTCCAACATGACACTGGATGCATCATGATGGAGTCCTTATCGAACACATTTGAACAGGCAAATCATATCAAATCATCATGTTTAACCCAAGTCTAGGATTCAAATCTTTACTTACCTCACCTTTGATATTCGGTAAGGATATAAGCTTCTACCAAACATGCATCCGGCTCCAAAAAAATTGGTAGCCCGACTCATCATCCTCGACATCCTTCGTACCAAGGCCATCCAACCTGGACAGATTTCAATCGGTTTAGCATGGGATTAATGCTGGATTAACGATGGATTAATAGAATAACACACTAAAATCTTAGCATGGTTTTTCGATTGGGCTAAGTGGATTTGAATGGGTTTACTATCGGATTTTTTATCGGATTAACGTGGTGATTTTCTGAATACTCTGCAAAAGAGGTTAACAACTTTTAGTGGGGTATGTGGTACATCTCATCCAGAAAAGGCCAAAAATCCAACTGGGACTGAAATCCATCCAGGCCATCAAGTGATCATCATGACCAAATACTTACAGCACTTTCCAAGTAATTTGCCTTATAAATGGTGGTACCCTCTGGTAAACTAACATAACTATGGGAAATCACCATTTTTAATGGGAAAACTCACTATAAATGGCCATTTTCAATAGCTATGTTAGTTTACCAGAGGGTACATCCTAGCGACCAACCTTAAAATAAACGTCGAACTCGAAGTCTCCGACATTTCCACTACGCCATTTTTCCAGGTCAGGTTTGGTTGGCTTCCATGCTAGCTTTCAAGCATTGCAAAGTCGGCTTGTAATGATAAGACAAATTAACCCCCATAACAATCCCAATGTTTGAAATTATGTAATATCCTACTGGTTGTTATATCCCCTTGTAATTAAGTGAAATACTTTTTAGTGTTTCATAGTAACCAATAGATATCAGTTGGTGCAGCATTTCTTCCACAGTATGTCAAGATTTGGGGGGAGCCTGGAATGGGGGTAGCCCCTAAATCATCAATTTTACCCTCTGGTAAACTAACATAACTATGGACAATCACCATTTTTCATGGGTAAATCAACTATAAATTGGCCATTTTCAATAGCAAACTGTTAAATTACCAGAGGGTAAAGCATGTAAACATACTTTGACCAGATGATGCCAGATAATCAATGGCCATGCAACAGGAACCTATTTATTGGAGGTACCTACCATATATAAGGCCTATTTTTCAGGCCTATGTAAGGGGATATACCCCACAAAATATACCCCACAAGGTGGCGAGATAGAAATCTCGAACGCCTCAGCACCGGCCGCGAATCACCCGGAGGTTTATCCACACGTGGCTTGGAGAGGACCGTAGCAAAACCTGGGAGCTCGGCCATTCGGCCAACGCTCGGGGGATCTGATGGCTGCTGTTGTCCCATAGGATCCATGTATGGTATATATGCCAACATTGGGGGATATTGGAGGTATAATATATGTATATGTATATGTTTCAATTTCAGATCAATGGGTCAAAGCCATAAATGGAGGTTTCCGAGAAGTCATGGGGGTACCCCCAGATCATCCCAAATAAGACAATTTTAGTATTGAAACCTATGGTTTTGGTCATCCCCCATTTTAGGAAACCTCCATTTATGGCCATGGTTCATGGTCATACCAACTGATGGTAAAGACCAATAGCCATTTAACATCGATTTATTGAAGGTATCTATCGTATCAGAATCAAACCTATTTTTCAGGACTAAGGGGATATACCCCCACAACATGTGGCTTAGTGTTTAATAAAGATCTAAACATAGACATTTCACAGCAAAGACTGTACTAAAGATGTTGTTGTGATTATTAAATCATAGTTATGTTTGTGAAAATAATGGAGACACATTTAAATTATGTTTTCGTTAAGAAAAGATACGGGTTTGACTGAAAATAAGGTTCCCTATATCTGAATGTCCATAAATGATCGATGGTTAGTATACCCGCGTTTTTATCATTCCCATATTGATTGAACATGGTACCCATATATTTCATAGCAGAGCAGCCTCCAAAGTTCTTCCCCACGGAATGTGGAAAGAAGTCTTCGAACTCGCCACTCCAATCTGCCCGGTGCCCGGCGAGGCCAAAGATTCAATGCTTGCTGTATCTCATGAACTTGTCGTTGCTGGTTGGTGGTTGAGCCCAACCCCTCTGAAAAATATGAGTTCGTCTGTTGGGATTCTATGAAATTCCCAACTGAATGGAAAAATAAACATGTTCCAAACCACCAACCAGGCTGTGCTTTTACATGTTTATGCCATTTGAGCGAAACACATGCAAATTCATCGTTTTGTGTGAAAACTAACCAAGTATTTGGATGAACTAAGATACTTCACACATCCAACAAGTTTGGCCAATTTGGAATAGTTACCTTTACCAACCATCATTTCAGTCATGATGCCGCAGTGAAGCCGTTCTAATTTTCCCAGATCCATGGATTATCCCAGGTTTCCCCATGATATCCACAGATCATGGCTGGTTTCCCCGAATTTGTTGGTACATGGTTCAACCCCCATGCAATCCCGGTTTCCAGATTTTTTCATCAGATCCCAGCCTTCGGTGAGAATGGCAGTGAAAGGAATTTGGCTCCAAAGTTCCAACAAGTCCCTGGTAACCTGCGACGAGTGCCGTGAGGGGTGAGATACATCCAGTTGGTTGTAACCCCCTAGAAAAATATATATCAAGTACAAGGTGGTGCTGCCTCCAGTTGGGTTTGTTGGTTTATAGCCCCTAGATACTAGTTTGATATATCCACAAGTCCTAATTATTAGAGTTATAAACCAACTTAGCTGTCTTGGGGGCAGCACCTTGTAGGGTTAGTCCAGTTAAAACTTGGTGAAGAAGCTACTTGTGAACTGGGACCCACCTCCAAGAAGCCCCGCAACAGCTGGCAAATTGAGGTTCACTTCCCCAAAATATGGCATTGTAGGTTTTGACCCATTCCATAAATATCTATCTATCTATCTATCTATCTAATTATATGTCATTCAATATTTAAAAAAACAAAAAAAACAACGTGAAATAGATAGACAATTAGCATGTTTTAAAGATCTTCACATCACTTGAGGATTACTCCAGGGTGAACATCACACCAACGAATCGCCAACGAATTGAAGCACCATGGTAGGTACCACATGTACCGAACGAACTGGTAGGTATTTTCTAAAGCTGGTTGGTGGTGAAAAATATGAGTTGATATCGCTGACCTTGGTAAGTTCACTTAATCCTATATGGTCGTCAATATATATCTGGTTGGTGGTATACCTACCTCTCAAAAATATAAGTTCGTCTCCCAACTGAATGGAAAAATAAACATGTTCCAAAGCACCAACCAGTGTTTGTTGGTTTATAAACCATGAATTAATCCCCATTAACTATAGTTACATCTACCATAAACCATAGAAATCAGCCACTTATAAGGCAACTTATGACCTCTGGAGACATCCGATTTTCCCCAACATAGATCCTTCAACAGTATCAGGAAAGATCCGATCAAAGAGACCAGGGCTTTTTCCTGCAAGTGTTCCAGTAGAAACCATATCTGGCCACAGGGATAGAAACCTTATTATCCTTATTCCACTCCAGTTAACCATATTCAAAGCCATATTTTGAAGGACTGAATCATATTCTGACTGGTTAGACTCCCAGACCTTGGCAGAGAGAGAGAGAGAGAACCCCTCATTTCCCCACTCAGCCGCGCCTTGCGTGGTCCCAACACCAGGACCGCATCAAAGCTGCGCAGGCTGCTGCTCAGCCGCTCGGGAGCCCTGGTGGGTTTGTCAATCCAGTGGTTTATCATCATGCAATAGCTGGATTGAAAATCCTATTAATGGAAAAACCAGTGGATGATTTATAATTAATTGATATGGCTATGGATCAATACCTATACATACCATTTTTAGGGGGATGAACATCCATAAATCCCAGCTATTTTGGGGTTCACTAGGTACCAGGGTTTTGACCCATCCCCATATCATCAATCCAGTGGATGGTTCATAATAAATTGAAAATCCTATGATTTATGGAAGATGACTGGAGGTGCTCCTATGACTTAGGAACACCCCTACAATGGGCCATTTTTATGGGCCAGATTTTCAGAGACATGCTACGCGATTTACGGCCATAACTGGGACTGATATGGAACAAAATGGCTGGATATACGCGAGCAAAAATAGAGAACAACCCACACGTTTGGTTTGAACCGATATAACTAGCTGACGTAAATGACCCGCTGGATGCGAGGACCCGGGAATCGTAAGTGGTTTATAGGCCATAGCAATAAACCATCAATATTTAGCCGTTTGACCTAACTGGCGGTGAAGTATTCCATGTATGTTTCCATTTGCAACATATATTCATTATAAATATACTCAATAACTGGGTTCTACTACGGTACCCACTTACCAACCCAGATGCAGCTCAAGTATACCACCCCAATATCCCGAAGTCATTCGGAGACTGTATGACACATTCTGTGGGAAACATTTGATGGGATAACTACTTACCCTCTCGTTTTTTTAGGTTATATTCAGTTATGGTGCCCACCAAGCAGATTCAGAGAAACATGGTATTTTTCTGCATCCTTTCATAGGTATCTTCAACGGATGTGAATGGATTTTCTGCCGGTCATATTGGAATAGCTTGATGGTTTATTGATCCTGCGCTGAGAGTTTAACGTTCAGTGGGTTATGGTGTAAATCCATCTAACCCCAATCATACTAGAAAACTAGGTGTGTGGTTGTAAACCATCCAGTTACTAAGAACTTATTGAATAAAATAGGCACCAGTCCAAACAAATCTTATCTAAACATACAGCACACACACACAAAAAAAAAATTGGGGAAAAGCCTACAAACCGAATGAGACGATCTAAGAACATATCTGGGCTGGGGATAAATCTATCATCAATGATTCAATGAAATTTAACGACATAACATTACCAAAAGGTAGCCACCCAACAAAAGGTGGTTGATTAAGAGACATTATTAAAAGTTAATGAGGGTTCAAAAACCCTGCCCAGAAGTCCTCAACCCCGGGCACAATCTCCCTCCAACGAGGGGGTGTTCTCTGAGTCCGACAAATCTGCGTGGAGCGTCATCTTCACGACAAGGCTTGCTGTCTTTCAGGCAACTCCGAAAAATACAAGATAAGTTTCTTGGCTTCTGGGCTCAGAGGTTGGAACTTGTTGACAATCATGTGGTCTTGTCCATGCTCTTCGGTCTTGGAGAGCTGCCAATGGATTCCACTTAAATTCTGATTGTGGAAAGTTCTCAATGTGCTGATTCCCGACATCATTCTTCATGACGTAGGCAGAAAAAAGGTGCCTCCAGCCTCAAAGCAATGAAATGACATGTGGTAATTAAAAGGATAACAATTGTGTAAGAACCAACTTGCAAGGGATTTAACCAATCAAAACCTAGCTTTAACCGACACAAAATGAGGATTGATACTTAGGTGATTTATGATTGGTAAAACAATGCTTAAGGAAAAGAACAAGAAACACATTGGATGCCCCGGGTCAAAGATTGATGCGATCTCATCTTAGACTTCCATGAAGAAAACGAGGAATCTAAGTAAGTCAGTCAGCGAGTGAGTAAGTAAGAAACACATGCATTTAGCAAAAACTAACTAGACATATTTATAGGGGCCTAACTTTTAACTGGCCGGAAATACTGTAAGACTTAAATTGATTGAAACAACAACACGCGTGATTCTTACCAAGACAAAAATGGTGATTTAACAAACTGAAAAACTGGCTTAGTGGGTCAAGAAATTATGTTTCTGGCAATAGTTTGGAATTGAATCAAAAAAAATGTTTTTTTTACTGGATTTGACAAACAATAATTTCGATGCAAGCAGCAAGAATGACCCATTTGAGCAGAACATGGGGGAATTGGACTCAATGAATGTGGCTATGAAAACATGGCCTATGCAATGCTGGCCAGAATGGGTGATGCAACATAATTATAATAAATTGGAATCTCTTCACGGTCTCGTTGAATTCTTCACATGGTGGTGCCCAGTCACTTTTGTTGGTTTATAGACCCCATCAACTATAGTCGAATATCTACCATAAACCCAACAGTCCAAAGGCTATCGGAGTTACCTTTGCCAACTTAGCGATTTCGAACTGGGAACCAACCACAAAATCATATCATTGGTACATATACGTATATATATATATGAATGTTTATATCCTCATTATATCTCCAATATTTCCCGAATAGATATACCAACTATAGTCGCATTGTGATAAGTTATATCTCAATTCTATGCCATATATCTCGGTAAATTATGGTAAATTGTCATAGTTCAATAATTCTTCAATATGTTTCACGAAAATCTGACTAGTTTAGGATATACCCTCTGGTAATTTAACAGTTTGCTATTGAAAATGGCCATAGAAATAGCTGATTTACCCAGCTATAAAATGGTGGATCTTTCCATAGTTATGTAACAGTTTACCAGAGGGTAATTATTGAATCACCATTCTTAATGGGAAAATCCACTATAAATAGCCATTTTCCATTGCTATGTTAGTTCACCAGAGGGTAGTTACCCCGTTACCAATTCACTTCATCTTTTTCCAGGCCTCGTTTTCGGTGGGTTCGGTCACTTCTCTAGAAGTTCGGCATAGTTCGGGGGCGCCAGAAACTGGTGGATATAATGACTGAGTTACCCTCCAGTGAATTAACATAGGAGAACCATAGGAAAACCATAGGAAAATGGTGGTTTACTGGAACTTAATGGGATTTAATAGGATTTAACGGGATCTAATGGGATCTACCCTCTGGTAAATTAACATAGACCCAGGCAGTCATCGGGATTGGAAGATTAGTTTCAACTAAACAATGGCTATTTTCAGGGTCAACAAGTTAATTTGCCAGAGGGTATATAAAGTATCGGATTTATATCAACTATGTCCATCTATATCCCAGAAATATGAAAACATGTTTGATATATCCATCTATTAAATGCTATATCCCAAATATCCATATCATAATATATTAAAATGGTTGATAAAATCTGCATGTCTGTTGCTTCATTCACCTTTTGTTTTGCCCATTCCCCCCTGCCCCAACCTCGGCACCGCATCGTTCTTCACGCGTCGAGCAGTGGAGGCTGCGCCGGTGTCGACACGACGTCGCATCCGCGTCAGAAGGCGACGCAGGAGGAAGAGAGCCACGGGCAGAAGCAACAGCCTGTTGCGCCGCCCGCGGTTCCCTGGTTTCATGGAGATATAAATTGGGAATGTAATGGGAATGTAATGTGGATGTAGGGGACGTGAATTGCAAATTATGGCAGTAACATATCAGAAATTAAGCATCCGAATTGGTAGAAGGGGATTTCATGGATACATAATCTTCAATTATGCGAATATTATGGATTAGGCCCTTCCTCTAACAGTAAATAGGCTACCTTCTTTAGACGTACCCTCCTCCACATCTGGCTCCCTTTTATACCCCTTAGATTATACCTTTTATACCCCTTATCTTTGGTAATATACCCCTTAGATTCTACCTTTTATACCCCTTATCTTTGGCAAATATACCCCTTAGATTCTACCTTTTATACCCCTTATCTTTGGCAAATATACCCCTTAGATTCTACCTTTTATACCCCTTATCTTTGGCAAATATACCCCTTAGATTCTACCTTTTATACCCCTTATCTTTGGCAAATATACCCCTTAGATTCTACCTTTTATATCCCTTATCTTTGGCAAATATACCCCTTAGATTATACCTTATATACCCCTTAGATTTTACCTGTTATACCCCTTACCTTTGGCAAATATACACCTTAGATTCTACCATTTATACCCCTTATCTTTGTTAACATACCCCTTAGATTCTAGCTTTTATACCCCTTATCTTTGGCGAATATAATACGCTGTACACCTTAGATTCTACCATTTATACCCCTTTGCTTTTGCAAACATAACACATTTGCAGCGTCTACTCCTTAGAATGCACCGCTTACACATCTCTAATTCATCATGTAATCATGTATGTTCCTTGTATCATGTATGCTTCCTTTGTACCTATCCTATCATGGTCATGGTTGTACAACATAGTCTCCTAGATTGAGATCAATCACTTGTGATGCTACAGCCGGACAACGGGTTAAGTATGTTATGTTATGTTCTGTTATGCTATGTTAGTTATATAATAGTAATAGTCTAATAATAATATGTCAAATTATGTCATTTTATGTTGAACTTTGCTGTTTTGTTGTTGCACCAAATGTTTGCCAGGGAACTCTTATGGGACTTATGGACCTATGGACTATCAGAAAACCAAAACACAAGTGTCACCCAGTGTTGATAGTATCAACCACTTCTTGTTGGGCGTTTGGCATGGTATGTTTTGATGAAACAATTTCCACCAACTGGTCGAGAAAGGGTCCACGTCTGTTTGAACCTTTGGGCCTTTGGGCTGTTGCTGAGCTATTTTTGATTGACAGCCAATGGTCAAGGGTTTATTCTTTGGAAAGATCAAACATGGTCCTTATCACGGCAGCTGTGGTTCAAGTATCGTTCACACAGTGCCATGTCCGATTTGCTGGACCTAGTTGCTGGGGAAGAAGCATCGCAAGTGCCAGGCGGCAATGCGATTGAAATTTCAAATCTGTTTGGCAATGATTCTGATTCAGATTTTGACGGTGGCTTGGGTCATTTGCTCCCAAGTGATGATGTTCATGATTCCAATGCTCCGTGTGCATTGGGTGTTGACGTGAGACAGCCGCAGGCAGTGGCACCCGGCAATGTTTCCAACGCAAGTGATTCCAATGATCCTTTTCCTTTTCAGGGTATCTCCATGAGAGGTAGAGTGGGTAGCGGCAGACACGGCGATCGTGACCAGCGCCAGCTTCTGGGGCTGCATATGCGCAGTCAAAAGCAGGCTAGGAAACAACAGAAAGTTCTTAGTGGAATGCTGAAAACTTTGAAGGGAAGCACATTCAGAAAGGGCGGCAAAACATTCAGAGTTGATGCAAAGCAGAAACGTGGTGGACTTTGCATTACTCTAGAGAGACAGGGGCAAAAGGGCAATCGATACGTGAGAAGGATTCCATTTGGCAGTTTTTTGGAGGCTGCGTACTCAAAACGAGCTTCTTCGAGCAACGTCGCGCTGGCGGCAAAATTAGACGTAGATCCCTCAACAATACCAAAACTGCAGAAGACTTGTGCGGCTGAAGCCATGCGGTTTCAAATCAGAATGTTGGCTTTGCTGCTTCAGTTCTGCCAAGAGAATCCACCTCTTTCCTCAATGAAGAATCTCGGTTAATGATTTCATATGCTTCAATTATGTTTTGGGGTTAAGGTTTCCAATAGAAAAGAAATCTTTGACAGGGGCACCACATCCATTTTTGTTGGTTTGATTTGTCTGGTTTTTAGATTTGGGGAATGTCAGGGATATCAATCAATGGTAGTATCTAAGTTATGTAGAACTATGTAAGGCCAATTCGTACTTGCACTATTTTATTGTACCACTTGAAACAATTACAGTGGGGACGATTTTATTGGGCCTGGATCGTGATTTTAAGTCAATAGTTTCGGTAATCCTCAAACCCCAAGGCGTATGAAATGGGATGAGGCGACGGTTACTACTACGCTGAATCCATCAGCGTCAGCCAATCCCGTGAGATCAGCCTGGTCCATGATGGTAGTCCGCGAAAAGCTGCGACTGGTGTGGGAATCTGGGAAGGCTGTGGAAGTCCCATTGGCAACTTGATGTTGGATGGTAAGGTTTTGTATTTTGTGTTTTTGAGAGTGTTGCTGTTCTACGGACCCCTGCCAGTATTGTCGGGTGTTTGATTTGGATGTGTTTCCCATTGATATATTATAATGATAATATTGTTTTGATTTGATGGTGGCACGGTGGCAATACTATGAGTCATAAGTCATGACTCATGACCAATTTGGATCGGTCGTTCTCTCAATAGTGAACCATCTAGTCAATGGTAGCATTGTTTGGTTTAGAAATAAACACGGTTTTAGTTTTTTATGCAATCAGTTTATAATTTGGTTTCTGTTTCCTACGTCCTTTCAAAGACACAGGTTGTTCCCCCTATACCACTTCTCAGCGCTACTGCGGAGTCAATGTATTTTGGCCTTCAATGTCACCCAAGCTTTCGCACAATACATGGGTTGACAAACCAGATTATGTCTTTGTCGAAGATTCCTGCTTTGCAACTGCATGAAATCGATGGCGCTTATGCCAATGAGAGGCTCAATGCTTTTTTTCTGACGATGAGTGGTTTCGACGCCTCAAGTGGCGGGTTTTGTCTGGAACAATCCCGCTGCCAAAGTCATGCGACTCATTTGATAACTGTCAGTATGATGTCCATGCTGGGTTGCAACTTGTTTTCGAAACTATATCAACTCACGGTCTTCCTTTCGAATCTTGGATACGTTTTGCGCCTTCAAATGGCGCTTAGAGATTGGATTCTCGAAAACATGGTGTGGAACCCATGCTGTGATCTTCAGGCTTTACAGCCAGATCCTTTGATGGCAGAAATCCGTGATTACATTGAGACATGGCATCATTCCCAAACAAGGTCTGATGATGGGGATGATGATGAAAACCAGCAGCATGCAAACACCAAGTTTGCTTCAAAAATGTCTGCATTTGTTGATATGTGGAATGGCTCGGGTACTGGACGACCCACACACAATTGCAATTGTCACATGGTGGATGGGCATGACAAACATTGCAGAGACAGAAACCATGCTGCTGAGAAAATGGCCAGTGTTCTGATTAGTCTTTTGCTGACAAGTTGTCCATCGCCACCAGCACCGAACAAGTGGACCAAGCTGTGGCGACCTGTTGACTTTGTCAGCATTGGCATCTTCTTGAACAACTTTTTGCCGCAAATTTTCGATATAGCATTCAAGGCTATGGGTTTTACAACACAACATCCGGGCACTCAGGAAGAAGCTGATCCTAGAATTATCGAAAAGCTGCAGTTTCATGAGGTTCAAGGCAAGCGCTATTTGGGTTCCAAGACATTCTTGCAAGATCGGACGTCCCAATTCGCTATGCGTCTTTTGCTTGTTGGACTAGAGCATCTTCGGTATCTCACAAACTCATGGCTGGGGAATTTGAACGCTTTGAAAACAGGTGGCAGGTACCCTCTCTTTACACTGTTCGATTCTGGTGCCAGTCCTGTAGTAGCATCTTTGAAACGAATTGCGGGTTTACTGACTGAATCCAGGTCTGGCAGACTCATTTTTCTTTGGGGAACAGCTGCGGATTCATACGAGAGTTGGTGCCAGATGCATTCTGATGAAATTCGTCTCACGCGGAGAGTGTTGCTGACACTTTCAGCATTGATCCACAGGCGACATGTTCTGCATTGGCTGAAATTTCCATGGCCTTTGGCTGCTTTGGCCGATCCAAATGCTGACCAGCAATTCGTAGCAGAAACTTGCGATAGATGGGACGCAGCAGGGATTTGTTGCGTCAGGCCCGGTTTAGCTCGAAATCTGAAAGCTTTGCGGATCGCATCCAGTGAGTTCCGAACCGACTCGATTCTTGGACTCATATCTTTTGGGATGGGATTAAATGGTCAATACAATTTTATTCATATCATTGATGATCAAGCTACACAAATAATATGAATATGGAATAAATAAAGTTTAAGTCACCTCATACAATAAATCATAAAATAACGTACAGTATCTATCTTTACGTCCAATAGTCTATAGAATATTTGCCATAATGGCTAGTATTTATTATTTGTTATGATATGATATATTATAGACGATATTGATAATAAATACTAAAATATCTATCAATATCAATATCATCTATCTAAAATAATATTTATATAATACATAAATATAAAATGTGTTTTATACTATAAATTGTATAATATATATATAATATATATTATCTATTATTATATAATATATATTATACACATATGAATTATACTACTATAAAAAAAAAATATCTATAAAATATCTATATTAGTTTAATATATTTTATATTATTTCAATATCGATATCAGCCAATATCATATCAAAACAATATGATAAATTGTTAGAATGTTTGAAATGATATTATTATGATTATGATATATATGATATATATGATATGTATGATATGACTTCTATGATGATTCGATGATAATATGATAATTTTGAAATATTTACCGGCATATACAATAGGATAATGTAATGAGTAAGGAGGTTCAACAATATCGTATAACCTACAACTAGACTATATT